CAGCAGATTCATAGTAAAGCACAATTATTCACTGATCAACTTGTCACATCCACTCTTTCCTGCAGAGTACGAATAAGTCCAAAACGGCAAACTCTCAACTGAATTAGTTACGTCGGTCCAAGTACATTTTCTGAAACAACAGTTTGCAGCAATGGTGTTGCCAGGGAAGGATGTGTCTCCTTTCTGGAGAAGAGAGAGAAAGAACCAACTTGGGAAGCTGGAAAACTCAAATTGACTATTTGGGTGAAGGTACAAAACCTGACAGTTGTTTAGCCCGTAAAACACAGCATGGGGCTCTGCATGTAGTGTACTAGTCAGTAGCTCTTCCTGTGCTCAACTTAGGGGAAAACAAAAGAAAAGAAAAAAACAGGCAAGGGAAGGAAGGAAGCAAAAAGGGAAACCCTTGTTGACATACTCAAGCCTGGGGACACTGCACCTTCTTATCTAATGTAGTCAGGGTAATTAGTCACCTGAGTATTGAAATATACTTGCCTTAGATGATGTATGTGGACAGAAAGTACAAATACGTGTCTGCTCACTATACCTCTTTGCTAGTTAGGAGTTACTTGAATTAATCAACTGTTCTGTCATTTTTAGTAAATTACACGTGTGGTCATATGGTTTGGGGGTTTATAATTTGAAGAATTAAATGACAAAGACACAGGAAAGTGTAAATGTGGCAGTACACATTCGGGTTGGTTGTGCTGATGTTAGTGCCTCCACTTCAATGTGAGTGTTTCCCTTTAAGCTTGGTATTTGTGACGTCACCCTGTGAAGTGTAGTCTTCTGTGAGGGGCTTGAGAAAGCTACAGGAAGGGAGGGCCACAGTTCTCTCCTCGTCTTCATCTGCATTGAAATGGACCACAGTAGGATCAGCACTAACTACAGAATGTGAGGTTTTCGTTAGAAATGATGTTGCTGGAAAACTGAAGGCTCAAAAGTCCATGTCTCCTCAGGCTTAGTTGTTTGCTGCTGTCTCAGGAGTTAGGAATCCAGTCAGAGAAGCTGTACTTTCCCATTTTGCTCTTAGTCCAAAAAAACCTGGAGAACACTCTGTATCCACTCCCTGTGTTCTTTCCTAAGCAGAGGACACTACTGGACCTTATGGTGGCCTGTTGTCTAACCCAGTTTGCAAACTTGAATACACACACTCACAGTGTGGCATGGAAGGCTTTCCTGACGGCACTCGGGAAGGCTGACCTCAATAGAAACCTGCTCTACTCCTCAACTTCCCGTGATCTCTTAAAATGGACGTTCATGCTTGCCCCGCTATAAATTACAAACAGCCTTCTGCTGCCATTAAGGGAAGGCACCTCTCACCATCCAGTGTTCCATAGGGGACCATCAAGCTTAGCAAAGCAGATATGCAAAGGGGCAAATTGAATATTCTAGATGTTGCTACAACAAACATCTTCCATTCTGGGCAACAAGTCTGATTACAAATCCAATCTCTTCCAGCCTATTGCATCTAGAGCAGGCAAACTCACTGGGTAGTAGTTGGAGGCTAACTGCAGACATTTCTGCTAGTGGATGACTGTAATTTTGATATGCCTCTCTAAAAGAATTCAAAGCAGTTAGCATTACCAGGCAAATGCCTCTCCATTCCCATCTGTTTGTACGAATGGGTTTGTTCAGTTAAAGGAAGAGTTGTGGTATCTATAATAAAAAAGAGTAAGACCCGTGACATGAAGGAGAAGCCAGGACAAGTGAGTCTGTTAAACCCATCTGGAACTAACCCGCTCCCCAAAGCTAGCCGGTAGGCATCTGGCAAGGTTAATAGAAACTGCCTAACTTGAATTCAAATATTTAAAAATATCAAGTCTGAAAGTCTGTGTTAGAGATAATTTTTTGGGACAGACATGAGCAACAAGCTGTGATTTCCTACAGAGGTCTATATATTGTTAAGAACAGGGGGAGAAACCCCAGAGGCCACTCCAATGTAATGCACACACCTGTTGCAAACAACTCGGTGTAGTACAATGTCACCTGGGAACATATAAACTGTCTAAAAAACACATACCTGGCGGTGTTTGGGCTCTCTGGAACTATCAGAGCCCGCAAAGCACACATACACTTCCTCCGTTTTCCTTGCCATGGAGCATAAACTCCTACCCATCTTTGCTCACAGATATATCTTTGATGGACTTTCTAAGTCAAATGGATCTCTCACGCAGGGAGCCAAATTCATATGGATTCAGTAATGAACATGAAGAAAGAGCTATATTGTTTTATTCTCATCCATGATGGAGAGATGTAAGATCCCTATTCTGCCTCGAGGCACGGTACCCAGCCCACAAACTCACTCACAGACAGTGAATTGTTTTGGTAAGTGGAGGGACCACGAGATGAATCTCTTCAGTCAATAAAAACAACTTTGATTGGAGACAGTGGTGCTGGCTATGGTGTTACATTGTTGGCATCCACCAAATGAAGAGGCAGCTGATACTTGACGTCTCCGTTATCTTTGGAAGGCTTTTTAGGACCATTTATATTTACTCCCAAAGTGCAGCTGAACAAAATCAGCACAGGCCTATATGGTTTCTATATCAAGTATTTCATGGTGTGATTAAGTAGGCAAACAACTCAGAGAAAAGAAGAAGCCAAGGAAAAGCATCAGATACCACTAACTGATGGGAGACATTTCAGACTTAGAATATCTGTTTTATTATAAAACTGAACTTCATTGCCATTTTACCGTTAAGATGTAATAAGTGCAAACTGCCTCAGTAACAGTGGAGAAGGCATCTCAACTTTGATGAGACCTTTTATTTGCTACTCAAACTTTTATTATTTCCAAATGGTAACATAAACAAGAAAAATAATGACTCCCTGTACTTGAGGGGGAGACTTTAGCAACTTAAAATGCCTTTGCTAGTGTGTAAATTGTAAGGCATATAGACAAAATATGTTTCTGTTCATGGTATTTGTTTATTTATTTGCCTTGTCTTGAAACAGGGTCTCACTGTGTAGCCACAGCTGGCCTGGAACTCACCATGTAGGCAAGGCTGGTCTTGAAATCACAGAGATTTGCCTACCTTTGCTTTCCAAGTGTTGGGATTTAAAGGTGTATACCCTGCACCCAACATCTATTTTTAAATGAAGTAAACAAAGCATATTTACACACCCACCATTATAAAATTACTGCCATCATATATCAAAATACTTGATCACTATGGCTGTGATGCGACTATCTGATCTGGATGGAGTTTCTGTATATTAGTGGTCGTGCATATTAGGTTATTGAATGGGATGATGAAGGGCACAAGCTGACTGGGAAAGCCAGCTTTGTGTTTCAGCCCTGACCCTGCCAAACTGTACCACCCTTTGGACGAGACACTTCATGTATACCTCAGAGAGGACCCTGGCTGAGGAAGTACTGAATATCCACCCTAACCTGCCTTTCTTTTTTGACCACATGCTTTTTCAGCCAACATCATTCATTCAACCAACAACTGTTGAACTTCACCTGACCCTGAACAGTCCTAGACAGACATAGACAAAGCCTATAAGGTGTGGAGCTAATTTCTCAAGGAGCTTCGCATTTCACTGCAGGTTGTGTGTGGCCTCCCCACAGTCTGGAGGAGCAGTACCACAGGAAGCCATGAGTTCACTCAGCTACCTTTCTCTGTGTGCTCAGAGCTACCCGAGCTTCAGAAAATGTTTCTGTTTCTGAAATCTTCATCTTGGCACAATTTTATAAGCAGCAGCTACAGGTGTGTCCATATTTTCACATTAATTAGTAAATGGACTAATCAGATTCTAGCCTAGCCAAGAACTTGACAAACACAGGAAGGGACCGTGACCGACATTCGTTTTCCTGAATTCGGACAAAGTGCCAACAGCATCTGCAGAAAACATATTATCCCCATCCCATGGGACCATGGCCAACATCAGTGGCTCAGGAACGCAGCCGCAAAACATTCAATCTCTGAAATGATATTTAGCAGGGTGCCCTTATGCTCCAGAATGTTCTGGAACTAACTAACTTCCAGCAGGACACCTTGCAGGGCTTTGGATTGTTTAAACGTTACTGTTTCTTGTCCTTCCATGCAGAGAACTCACTAAACTGTGACCTCTCAGAGGGTACCATCTCCAAGTGATCTTCAGTAGGGTGTCTTCTGCAAATCCCCTCCCCTTGCTCCAAAGCATGCAATAATAGATGCAAGTGAAAAGCATCAAATTAGTTGCAAAACCAAAGAGGGGAAGAGAGTGATCCACTTAGAAGAAATGTCATAATAAAAATTGATGTAGTGTGTATCGTACACTTAATTCAGAAGGCAATTGGGTTCTCCCCTTTCACAAGAAAGGAGACCTTGTCCGTGTGTGTAATAAGCAACAAAGCGCGTTCACTGCCTGTAACGTACTGAAGGTTGCTAACAGGCCTTCTGAGGAGTCGCCTTATCCACAGGAGACCATGCGTGGGCGCGTGGGCACCTCACTCCCCCATCCCTTGCTTTCCCATATTGCACCATTTTCCTGGGCCCAGGTGATTCTAAGGGATCCTCCTTGTGCTTCTGCGACTGAGAAAATACATTTCTTAGGTAAGGGGCCTCTCCCTCCTGCGGAGAGACCCTGGACACAAAAGCAACCTCTCCTTTGTTTGCAAGACACAGGCAGGCTGAGAAAATTTATCTCTGCTTCAAACCTCCCCCACAAGTGCGCACTTGGGTGACTTCTAGTTTAGCAAACACTTGTGTTCCACCATTGAGGAACTATCCCTGCTGACGTCTTCCCCTGCTTATTGTGCTCGGGTTTCACATCCATTTCCCCGGTCTTTCCAGGATGAGAATTTCAAGAGGGAGCGGGGGATGGGCAGGGAGGAGATGGGGCGCCTGGGATTCTGCCGTCCTCCTGCAATCTAGAATCAGTATGTCCCCCTCCGCGGCCCACCCTCCCTCTCTCGGCAGTCCCTGAGCCCCGCAGCAGGAGCGAGGAGGAGGGCCGCTAGCTAGCCGGGGTGCCACCTGCCTCAGCTAGGCAAAGCTCCAGTTGTCACTTACCCAGCGGGGTGAGAATGGCTCATTTTTGCTGAATCCCTTTTGGACCCCACTGCAGGTGTAGATGCGGCTAAGCTAGCGGAGGGTTTGCGCGCTGCGGCGGTGGTGCTCTCTCGGAGCACCTGGGCTGGGCACCTCCCTTCCTCACCCGGGCTCCCGCAGCCTCCCAGTTACTGCTTGGTGGCGTCCACAGACTCCCGGTTGCTAAGGGAGGAGAAAGGCGAGCAGCACCCAGGGCCCAGAGAAGCAGCGGACTGCTGGAACCAAGCCTGGACAAGCTGGAAAGGAAACCAGCTCCCACCCTGCTCCCTGGGCCGTGATACAGGAGGGCATGGGAGGAGATCAGGCAGGCCCCAGCTTGATTGCTCTGTGGTTACTTACTGTCCCCAGGCACCTGAACACACACACACACACACACACACACACACACACACACGCACGCACACGCACACACGCACGACTGGATGGTGTCTGCAGGCAGGAGAGCAGGGGAAAACCACGGTCAGGTGCCTTAGTTTCTGCTTCTATAAACAAACCCAGAATGCAACATGATAGAAGCTGTTTCCCTCTTTATCGGGAAGCTGGATTGCCATCAGGTTTCTTCCTGGGGCAGTCCCTCTCTTCACATCCCGGGTCCCCATGCCAGCAAGCTGCTCGGGGAGATGTTCAGAGCCTGAGAGGGAGTTGCTCGGGCAGTGGTGGACTGAGCCAGGGGAAGATTAGCTTAAGGGGAGGGTCTTGGTAGGAATGTCACCCAGCCCTGGATGGAGATGACCTATCCCTCGTACCCTTGCTTTACCAGCTCTCACTTGCTGAGTGGCTTCTGAGATGGCAGGATACGGCTATCACCAGATCTCTGTTCCCGCTCACCCACACTCAGAGGTGGGAGGCCACCATCTTCTCTGCTTTTCCTCACTTTACACTGTGCCCGAGAGGCCAGTATCTTTGGCGCCTTTCCCATCACCTTCCATTAAAGCCATGGTGACCCTCTCTCCACCTGCAGTCCCTGAAGTTCTAGCCAAACGTCACCATCCTCCCGTGAGAATATAATCCCACTCGACTACAGGACAGCTTCTGTTTATCCTTCGCTACTCAGTTCAGACACTGCCTTCTTTTTGGCGGTGAGCTCTGTATTTAATCCCCTTTCTCATTACTGTGACCAAATACAGAAACAACTCAAGGACAGAGGGCTTGATTTTTCCCTGAGGGTCTCAGAGGGGTCAATCTGCCCTGGAAAGCTGATGCTGCAGCACCTTGGTCTGTACCAAGGGCAGCACGCTGCTACACTCTTCACGAGTAGGCAAATGAGAGAACAGAGTATGCGGCTTCAGCAGGCCTTTTGGAAGGCACCTGTGGTGACCCACCCTCTGCCCACCCAGCCTAACCGCCCCCAGTGGGAACCAGTGTCCATGGCCTGAGTCTACTGTAGATACTTCACCTAGTCCAGATGTTGGCTCCCTCTCCCCTTCCCCTGCCTCTGACACACAAGCATTGCCTGAACACAGCTGACCACCTTCCCTACATTTCCTAGCTCCTCTATCTTGCACATTTATTTTATTTTTTCTGTGTTTTCAGAAGCAACAAATGTCTGGAGCAAAAATAAAGGAAAGGAAACTCTTCTAAGTTGCAATGTTTTTTTTTTTTTTTTTTTCACACTAAGTGTGTTGTAGATGCCTCTTCTGCCTAAGCAGAGTACGGTGAAGTCGACCGTTTTTTTCCAGAGTCTACATTGGCCTCTAAGTGGAGAAACCGAGATTCAAACTGAGATCTAACTGATGCAAAAAAAAAAATCTGTAATTTTAATCATTTATAATGTGATTTCTATCTCCCTGTGGCTCCTGTAAATTGTTCCAGAATTTAAATTGTGCATAATCTCAGAGTTATCAGACTTTAGAATTAGCAGACATCACAAGGGTAAAATTGGGTAGACAGATAGATGGTCAGGTAGAAGATCTGTAGATAATATATAGGTGGTAAAATGATTAATTGTTGTTAGATTATACATAGATATACTGGCTAGCTTTATGTCTACTTGAGTTGACATAACTAATTGACAAGCTTTATGTCAACTAGACTCATCAGATCAGGGAGCCTCAATTGAAAAAACCATGCCTCCATTAGACCCAGCTACAGGGCATTTTCTTAATTAGTGATCAGGGGGGAGGGCAAAGCCCATTGTGGACCGGACCATCCCTTGACTGGTTATTTTGGCTGCTATAAGAAAATAGGCTGAGCAATGTAGGAGGAACAAGCCAGTGAGCAGCATTACTCCATGGCCTCTACATTGGCTCCAGCCTCTAGGTTCTTGACCTTGCTGTTTTTGATGATGAACTATTATATGGGCCTGTGAGCAAAATCAACCCTTTCCTCCCCAAGATGCTTTTGGTCATGGTGTTCCCCTAATGAAGGCAATAGATGATAAGATGGTAGGTAGATAGATGATAGATAGATAGATGATTGACTAACATATAGATAGTTGATAGATAGACAGATGATTGACTGACAGATAGATAGATAGATAGATAGATAGATAGATAGATAGATGATAGGCAGACAGACAGATAGACAATAAAGGAGAAACACACTTACCTATGTTTAGTTGGATCATCAGCCTGAAGGATCCAAGGCTGCTTTGAGAACCAGATGGCTAGAACTAAGATAGGCAGAAGTCTTCTCCATCCCCATATGTCTTCCCCACCGTACCCGACTGCAGTGTCTAAATGAGGTTGCCATGTCCATGGTCATAAGATTCTGCTAGAAAAATTTGGGGGGGGGGGTGGAGGCTGGAGTTAAAGAAGTGGAGAGGTGGAAGGAGACCTCACTGTGTACCCCAGGTTCTACCGAGCCTCGGGGTGGCACAGATAGCATGGCCCTACTCAGGTGTTAGTGCCAGTTAACCTCTTCCAGTACCAAGCGATACTGCCTACATGGCAGAATGAGAAAGGAAAGTAAAACACATCATCCAGATGCTTGGGTTGCTGTAGGAAGGATCCTCTGGAAGGCTGCAGAGAGGCCTCCTTACCAGCCCAATTAATCCATAAACGGGACTGAGTTCTCAACCCCCGTGAGTTGTCCCATTTCACATTCCCAAGGAAAACTGCAAGGAAGACCCTAATTTTCACTTCAGAAAATGCTCACTGTGAAAAATGCATTGGGACTTTAGCCAGAAGGAATTTTTTATGTTAATTTCTGTTGTGGAGAAAGGGTAAAGGGAATGAAGAAAAAAATAATAATAAATTAAACCATTTCAAGACCAAATAGTCACCGGAGTCATTTTCATTTCCTTGCAAGCAAACAAGCCCCAGATGTACCAAGTAATACCGTAAAATCATGCACACACCTCTGCTTTGTGCAAATGTTTGTGGAGGAGGAGTTGGGGGCACACACTGAGGGCACTGCACAGGCAAGCACACTACACCCGAGTGATCTCTGCACTCGGTGATGGATTCACCCATCACAGTTCTTAGTGGCCGGCCACTCTAGAAGAGGACTGGCAATCTGTGGCTTTCTATCGAACTCTAGACCAATGTCTAATTGTTTTTGTTCAGTCATCAAGTAAGAATGATTCTACATTTGTAAATGGTTGTGGTGGGGGAGACCCTAATGGTCATAAAGGATACTTGAAGATCATATGAAATTTACAGTGTCCCGGAAGTTCTCTTGCCGATAACCACACCCATTTTCACAGGCACACGATTGTTTCTTCTGGTGCAGGAAGGCAGTGTGTGACCCATGCTGCACAAAACCAGAAATACTTACTGTTCGTTTATTCACACAGAATGTTTCTAAGAAAGTTGCCTTTGGCCTATATCAGCTTTACACGTAAAAAGGTAGCTTACTCAAGGGCCTTGGGAACAGGAATATTTTTCACGGTATTGGTTCCTTTCCTGGCACCCACCACAGATCCCCTCCCTTAGTAAGCTCTGAGAAAGCAAATGAGGAGTCTGGGCAGCTACTTTAGCCAGCAATGTCCTTGGTTTTCAGGTATGAAGACTTAACCTGGGCCCACAGAACCCACATTTAAAAATGTTGGATGCAGCGGTGCACATTTACAATCCCAGCCCTGAGGAGACAGAGACAGGAAGATTGCTGGAGCTCACTAGTCTCACCTTAACTGATGAATTCCAGGTCAGTTAGATACCCTTTCTCAAAGAAGATGGATAGCGTTGCTGAAGATGACACCCTGGGTTCTACACACATGAGCATACACATGCATGGACACTTGCACAGATGCACCTGAACCACAATGGGCACACTCACACACACACACACACACACACACTCATACACACACACACACACACACACACACACACACACAAAGAACAAATGGATTGAAGAAATAAGTCCTTCCATATATTTTCCTCTTGAATACAAGACTTACATCAAGATATAACCCAGTGGTGGTCGGCAGAAATTTTGAGGAGACTGCTGCTGCCAACAGAAGCCTAACAAGCCAGGGTCCTGAGAGACAGTGATTTGATGGCGCCCAGGGCTACCTTCCTTGCAATACTGTAAAACCACCGTAGGAAGCGGACAGTGTGGCATTTCACCGGGACACGCCCAGTTTTGCAGGAGGCCAGGTGTAAAAGAGAGCTTCCTAATTCCTTCCAGTCCCTTAAGTTGTCTGAGTTGCTCAAAGCCGTAAAATCAGGACCCGGAAGAGGGAGAACCGAAGCATGAAGGAAGACCTTGCTCCATGGAACTGTTTCATGGCTGCTACGGTCCTTAGTGTGCTGATCCTTAGTCACCTAAGTGACAGAATTAAGAGATGGGCTCTTTAGGAGGGGGTTGAGGTGTGAGGGCAAAGCCTCCCAGATGAGTTGAGAATGATCAGGTTCTTACTGAAGGGCTTCCCCGAGGGGCTTCCCTCCCATTGCCTGCCCTTTCTGCCACGAGAAGATGCTGCAACAAAATACGCTACCTTAGAAGTGGTCACGTGTCAGACGCAGACTGCGCACGCAGTCCCTGGGCTTCCCCATTTGCAGAACAGTGATAGGTAGCTCATTCGTTTACAGATTGTCCAGTTTTCCATGTCCACACCAGACTGTGAAGAGCCGGCTCCGGTGAGCCAGAGAGCAAACGTGAGCTGTTAGATAGCACAGCCCGGGAAGGCTCATGAGTAGTTAGAGTGGCACACTCGCAGGGACATCTCCAAGTTAGACTTCTGTGTCACATGGGTAGAAAAATTGCATCTAGAGCCTTCTGTTCCTACCGTCCAAATCTGCCTTCTGTTCCTACCGTCCAAATCTACAAAGTGACCAGCTAGAGATGGCGACAGTCGATGAACTAATTA